AAACCAAGTGATCCTCCCTCCTCAGTAGCTATGTCTACAGGTGTTCATCATCATTTTTACCACATTTAAAATTTTTCTTATTGGGCTGGGGATGTGGCTCAAGCGGTAGCGCGCTCGCCTGGCATGCGTGCAGCCTGGGTTCGATCCTCAGCACTACATACAAAGAAAGATGTTGTGTCCACCGAAAACTAAAAAAATAAATATTAAAAAATTCTCTCCTCTCGTCTCGTCTCGTCTCGTCTCGTCTCGTCTCGTCTCGTCTCGTCTCGTCTCTTCTCGTCTCTTCTCGTCTCTTCTCTATCTCTTTAAAAAATTTTTTTTTCTTATAATGAAAATATGTGATTAGTCTTTTTGAATAATTATCATTTTCTTAAAAAAATTAAAGTATAAACAAAAATGTATGAATACAATGTAATTCTGTTTATGTATTTAGGCTTAAATCTAGTTTAACTCCTTTTTTTTAGCTTTCACTGAGTTTTAATCCCAATCTGTTGGGTTAATGAGAATTTAAAATATTATTTTCATAAACCTTGTAACTTTTTGCTATTATTTTCATTCTAACCCTGTTATTTACTCTTAATCTGTTTCTTTATAAGCCTCTTAAACTTCATTTCAGCTTTGGTTTGAACATTGTTGTTGTGATTAACACTTTTGGTCCCTATTTTCTTCTTCTGTAATATTTTCAAAATTATTTATTTATTATTTTTGGTACAGGGGATTTAACCCAGGGGTGCTTAACCTCTGAGCTACATTCCCAGTCCCTTACCTGCACCCCTTCCCCCCACTTTTTTTTTTTTTGAAACTTAGCAAAAATCCCTTTGCTAAATTGATGATCTTCCTGCCTTGCTTGGCCTCTCAAGTCAGTAGGATTACAGGCTTGCACTAGCACTTCGGGTCTTTGTTGTTGTTGTTGTTTTTTTGTTTTTTTTTTTAAATTTTTTTTTGGTTGTTGTTGTAGATGGACACAATATCTTTATTTATTTTTGTGTGGTGCTGAGGATTGAATCCTGTGCCTCACATATGCAAGGCAAGCACTCCACCACTGAACTTCAACCCCACCCACTTTGTATTTTAATCAAGCTTTACTTTTAATTGGGAATACTAACTTGACCATATAAGTTGTTTAAAATTATGCCCAACTTATGACCAGGTGCAATGGTGCATGCCTTTAATCCTAGCGGTTTGGGAGGCTGAGACAGGAGGATTGAGAGTTCAAAGCCAGCCTCAGCAGCCGCAAGGCAATAAGCAACTCAGTGAGACTCTGTTTCTAAATATAAAATAGGGCTAGGAGTGTGGCTCAGTGGTTGAGTACCCCTGAGTTCAATTTCTGGTTGTCCCTGCCTCCCAAAATCATTCCTCACCTGCCTCTACTTTCTACCTGATTGGTTCTGAACACACACGAGCGTTTCTTTGGTACTGCAGTTTGAACCCAGGGGTACTTTGTCACTGAACTACATCTCCAGCCCTTTTTATTTATTATTTTGAGATGGATTCTCACTAAGTTGATGAAGGTCTCCCTGGTTGCTGAGGCTGGCTTCAAACTTGCAGTCCTCCTGCCTTAGGTACCCCTTCCTTGTGATCAAAGACTTGTATCACTACTTTTAAAATTTTTCTTCAGTTCTACTTTTTCTGGATAAATAGTACTCATTGTACATAAGATAGTCTTCAGTATCAGTTTTATATCTATTTACAGGTGTAATTGTTGAAATGTGTTCATATTACTAATTGGATTGTAATATTTTTCAGCATTGTCATTCAATTATTTAAACTACATCATCAAATGATCTGCCATCAAAAATTATCTCTCAGATGATTATTTGACTAGGTTTCTCTGTTTTATTGGAAGAAATCAATTAGAAACCTCCTGCCATGCTGGTTATTAGAATCATTAGAGACACATGTACCGTATTGTTATTTTTCGCACTACTGAGGATTGAACCCAGGGACCCTCTACCATTTCGGTACGTCCCTAGTCCTTTTTATCTTTTTTTTTTTTTTGAGACAGCATCTGGCTAAGTTGCCCAGGCTGGCTTTGCATTTGGGATTCTCCTGCCTGAGCTTCCTGAGCCCCTGGCATTACAGGCGTTTGCTACCACTCCTGGCTGAATAAATTGTTTTTAATCAAACATGTCAAAACTATCCATTCAAATTTTCACCATTGTCTGCTGTATTACCTATGTGGCAAAACTTCATAATTAAACCTATCAAATGTACTTTCATAATAGATAATGTCTGATTTCACTTTTCATTTCAAATACATGGTTGGTATGAGTTCCTGTGACAATTGATTTTTATTTTTGTAGAACTGGGAATTGAATGCTGGAGTGCTTTACCACCAAGCTACACCCTGAGTCCCATTCCTTTTTTAAAGATATTTTTGAGACAGAGTTTCATTAACTTGCCCAGGCTGGCCTCAAATTTGTGATGATCTTTCCTTCAGCCTCCCAAGTCACTGGGATTATAGGCATGTACCACCACATCTAGCTTTTTTTTTTTTTTAAGATAGGGTTCATGCTGTATTCATTCCCCTTGGTTTTCTAAAGTTCTGGGTTAAAGAGACCCTCTCACCTCAACTTCCTGGATAGCTGGAACTATAGGTATGTGCAACTGCACCCAGTTTTGTTTTATATTTTGTTGGAGTACTAGGGATAATATCCAGGGCCTTGTGCATTTTAGGCAAATACTCTATCTCACCGAACCACACCCTCAGCTCTATCTTCTGATATTTAATTCCAGGCCAGAGGCCAAGGAGTCTTATTGGCCTGAATAACTTGACCTTGTTCTTAGTGTCCCCTACCCCCAACCCTCAACCCCCAAGAAACTCTGTTAGCTTTGTTTCATAGGACTTTTCTTGAAAAATAATGTATTCTTTGGTAAAATGTAGGATAGAAGAGATAAACTTTGGTTCAGGGTGTTGATATACACCTGTAATCTTAGTGACTTTCGAGACTGAAGCAGGAGGGTTACAAATTTAGGGCCAACTTGGGCACTTTAGTGAGACCATGTCTCAAAATAAAAAATACAAAATGCTAAAGATATAGTTCAGTGATAGATTACCCCTGGGTTGAATCCCAAGTACTTTTTATAAAAAAAAAGAAGGAGCTGGGCATGTTGGTGCACACCTAGCAGTTTGGGAGGCTGAGGCAGGAGGATTACAAGTTCAAAGCCAGTCTTGGCAATTTAGTGAGGCCCTAATCAAGACCCTGTCTCTCACTAAGAAATAGAAAGATTGGGGCCGTGACTCAGTGGTTAAGTGCCCCTTGGTTCAATCTCTGGTACAAAAAAGAAATGAAAACATATTTCTAAAATAACAGATACATATAATTTTACTTATTTATTTTTTTGGTAACAGGGCTTGAACTCAGGGGCACTCAATCACTGAGCCACTTCCCCAACCCTACTTTGTATTTTTTTTACAGACAGGATCTCACTGAGTTGCTCAGTGCTTCACTTTTGCAGAGGCTGGCTTTCAACTCTCGATCTTCCTGTCTTAGTCTCCCAAGCTGCTGGGATAACAGACATATGCCGCTGTGCCTGGCTAACAGATATATTTCTAAAATGAAAATTATGATCGACTTCTGCTCCACTCTACTATGTATCTGAAAATAGAACATACTGTCACAATTTCTTATTACTAATTTCTAGCTTTATTCTTTATAGAAATACTATATAAAACAGGAAGCTCCAGGAGTGTGGCTTGGTGGTAGAGCACTTGCCTAGCATGTGTGAGGCACTGAGTTTGATTCTCAGCACCACATATCAATAAAAATGAATAAAAAAATAAAGCTCCATCAACATCTTTAAAAAATATTAAAAAAACCCCAAAACCTTGCTCCATAGTTGGTTTGTGGTACTTTAAATATCTCCCCCCAACCCCTGTGCCCCGTGTGCATATGTGTCTACCTGTGTATTATATTGGGGATTTAACGCAAGGCCTCCAGCATGCTACGTCCTATAACTGGGGATTACTCTTTTTTTTTTTTTTTAATTGTTGTTTGGTGCTGGGGATTGAAGTGAGGATCTTGTACATGCTAGGCAGGTGCTCTAGCACTGGGCTGTACTCCTAATTAAAGAATACTTTGCAGACAAAATACTCTGGATCGTTTCTTTTTCTTTCTTTCTTTTTTAACACCTCAGAGCTTTTTATACCCCAGGCAGTGCAGTACAGTTTGATTCAGGAGTTTGATGGATTAGGTATGCCATTCTTTAATCTGGATAAAGATATTTATGAAATGGGAGGCAGGAAAGGAAAATTAATATGACCTTTCTACTTGGAGCCCAGATATACTGTCATGAAGGTTAGCAGTTTAAAAAAAAAAAAAAGGCCTGAGTACAAATAGAAACTGAGGACCTGGGTTCCTTGTTGTTTATTTCTGAGTACTTTTCAGGAAATGTTAACCTATAGCAGTACAAAGATTATGGTACTGTGGCAGATCCTAATCTAATAGTTATGACAACCTCTATTTTTTGGACAGGGAAACTGAGAGGTGAGATACTTGTCAGTATTAGGAAGCTAGTAAATGGTTTAGTAAAAAACTACCCCCAATTTTTTTCGTCCTCTATCATATTATTTGCTACATAGCCTGGTACACAGTAGATGTTTACTGTATATTTAATGAATGGATAGCTGTATAGATTGTTTTGTGAACTCTTTAAGTGGTTAACAATGTAATAGTTAAATTTTGAACATGAGAGTAATATTTCATGTGATTCATTCTGGAGGAATACTGAAGATATTTTATGTTTCAAAGCTTGGTCATGTTGATCTCCCTTCAGTTCCTGAGGTGATGCCAGAGGAAGTGACAAATAGAACAGTAAAGAGCCATTTGCTTGGGCATTCTTGGTGTTTTATTCATTGGCTTGGAGAACTATAACAGTATGGTAATGATTATTTGATGTAGTGGTCAACTGATGGTTGTGTTGATACTATAATCATATGTCTACTGAGTCAAATGTAATTCTGTTTATATGACCAGTATACTTCTGTTTCTGTGTTATAGGTATTCTCTGAAAGCAAATGACCAAATCTTGGCTGAAGAAAAGCACAAGGAACTGTAAGTTTATTAAACCCTATGTTACATATACTTCACCCTGTGGAGCAGATGTGTGTAAATGGTCAGATTGATTGATTTTTTAATTTATTTGCTGTATTGGGGATTGAAGCCAGATGCAAAGTTCTACCATTGATATACCTCAGGCCTTTTTATATTTTATTTTGAGATAGTCTAAGTTGCTTAGACTGGCCTCTAATTTGCCATATTCCTGTCTCAGCTTCCTGAATAGCTGGAATCACCATGCCTGGCACTTTTACTTTTGAAAAATAGCTGCCTATAGGATTCTGGAATATTTTTTTTCTTTGTCCTAAGATTATATTTAAAAGATTATCATCTCACAGTAAGTATGAGGATTTTAGTTAAAAATAAACCTGGTTTGGGTTGAGTATGGAGATGAATGCCTGTAAATCCCAGTGACATGGAAGGCTGAGGTAGGAGGACTGCAAATTTGAGGCCAGGCTTAACAATTTAGCAAGGCATTAATCATTGTTTTTTTTTTTTTTGAACTGAGAGTTGAATCCAGGCGTACTTTCCACTGACCTATGTCCCCAGCCATTTTTATTTGTTATTTAGAGACAGGGACTCTTTAAATTGCTGAAGCTGATTTTGAACTTGGGACCCTCCTGCCTCAGACTCCTGAGTAACTGAGATTACAGGTGTGCATGCCCAGCCCGTTGGTTATTTTTTGTATAGGTCTACTAGTAGAGTTCTTTTAGTTTGGGAATTTAGTTGTTAGTTTCCTTTGGTTCTTGTAAATGATGACCAATATTAAAAGTTCAGAAATCTGCTTTTCAAGAATATATATTACTGGGCTGGGAATGTGACTCAAGTGGTAACGTTCTCGCCTGGCATGCGTATGGCCTGGGTTCGATCGATCCTCAGCACCACATACAAAGATGTTGTGTCTGCCGAAAACTAAAAGATAAATATTAAAAAATTCTTTAAAAAAAAAGAATATATATTACTTAATTTATACTCCATTTCATGTGTTAATTTATTTAATATTTTTTAGTAGTGTAAGATATAGTTCATCACTATGGTTAGAACTTAGCCAACTGTTTTTTTTTCTTGCATTTGAATATAAAAAAGATTTTTTAAATTTAAATTTATTTTTTAACTCATATATAAAACATTATGAAAATTTAAACATACAGTATTCACCCATATGCTCCCCACCTAAATTTTTTTTCTGCTTTATACACAGAAATGATTTCTTTTACTTGTTAGTCACTTGCAACATTAACCTGAAAATAACATTTCTTATACCACCTAGATTTTATCATTAACATTTTATTGTACTTTATCACTTGCATGTTCGTTCTCCTAACCATGCATTAATTCATCCATTTTTTCGGGGATGCATTTTATTATAAGATACCAGTGTGCTTTCCCCTAAATATCCCCCCACCCGAAATCTTCCAACATATATCAACATTAGCCAGAGTTTAATATATATTTTTAGTGGTAATGGGGATCGAATCTAGGGACACTCATTACTGAGCTTCATCCTCAGCCGTTTTTTTTTTTTTTTTTTTTTGAAACAATCCCACTGAGTCACTGAGTTGCTGAGGCTGACTTTAAACTTGCCTCAGCCTCCTGAGTCACTGGGATTACAGGCATGTGCCACTCTAGCTGGTCTTTTTAAGTTTTGCCTGTTGTAGGATTTCTTAGTTATTTAATGGGGTGCTGAGGATCGAACCCTACCACTATTGAGCTACAACTCCAACCCCTAGAATTTCGTATAAGTGGAATCATATACGTCCTGTTTGATAAGGCCTCTTTCATTGTAATTTTGAGATTCATCAGTGTTATTGCATATATTAATTCCATTTTTAATCAGTGATTAATGTTTCATTGTTCATTCTTTTATTACTAGTATTGTCACTTGATTTATTTTGCATTAGTTGATAATGTTAGTTCTTTTGGCTGCTAGTTCTCTGTCTTGTAGTTTCTGGCCTCTGTACTAAAATTACTTAAGAGGTGAACATGCTATTGTAAGAATAGAATACTAATTAAAATAAATTTACCAGCTGCTTTTTATGAAAACTGTTCTTAAATAAGCTCATTTGTGACTTTATAATTAAAATAACCAAAATCTCACAGAGAAATGTTTGAGAAGATGAAAATGCTAATAACCCTGATTCAGTCATTAGATATCATATACATGTATCAGATTATCAAATTGTGCCATGTAAATGTGTGCAAATGTTATATGTTAGTTAATAGCCAATACTCTTTGTGCTCAAGATAGAGTCTTTTAAAAGTACAAGAGATATAGATATAAAACAAAATTTAATTATAAAATCGGTAATTTCATGCACTATTTTCATAAAACATTGCTTCTTCTAATCTGTTCAAGGCAGTCTTAATTCATCATATTTTATCATATTGACCCAGTTCCTAAGGCAAGGGGATCAAAGGTCAAGGCCAGGCTCAGCAACTTAGGTAGACCCTGTCTCAAAATAAAAATAAGAAGGGCTGGGGATCTTGCTCAGTGGTAGAGCACTTCTGGATTTAACCTCCAGTACCACAATAAAATAAAATAAAAACAAAAACAAAAAAACCCATCACCACCTCTGACCAGAAAACTACAATAAATTGATTGTTTAATTATCTTGATATTTTTTTACATGCAGTAACTATGATTTCACTGAAAACATCCTTAGTTGAGGCTGGGGTTATAGCTCAGTGGTACAGCACTTGCCTAGTACATGTAAGGCCCTGGGTTCAATCCTCAGCAACATACAAAGATAAATAAATAAATAAAATAAAGTTATTGTATCCATCGACAGCTACCAAAAAAAAAAATTAAGAAAAAATTCTTAGTTCCCAAAATCTGATGATTCAGATTCTATATCTGCTTAGTCACTCAGGCTTCACAAATATACGTGTTCCTCTGGGGAAGACTGACTGGCATCAAAGAGGATTGGTATTTGTTTCTCAAAGAAAAATGTTTTTTCTCACTTTTCTATTTTTCATTCTTCATGTGGAAGACTCTTGAGGATGATTTTAAGAAGGAAAAATGGAGCAACTGAAGTGGTGATGTGATTAAAACTGAGTATTATACTTTGCTCTATGCATGATCGTATACTGAACTGGTTAATTGGTCTTCTATAGATTTTTTTTAAACTATCAGAATTTTAGTTTTATAAGTGGAGTAGATTAAACTAAATTGGAGAAAATCATTGTTTTGTTCAATAAATATTTTTCCCTTGTCAGCCAATGTATCACACAGTATTTAAAGAAAAGGTACTGTATAGCTTTTATGTGTAAATCATACCTCAATAATGTGGTTTAAAAAAGGTACTTTAGGGCTGGGGTTGTAGCTTAGTGATAGAGCGCTTATCTTGCACTTCTGTGGCACTGGGTTTGATTCTTAACACCATATAAAAATAAATAATATAAAGAAAAATAAAGAATTAAAACTTCTTAAGAGTCTTAAATTAAAACTTCTTAAAAAAGATACTTTATTTTAAATGAAGACTTAGTTTTCTTGTTGCTGAACACATGCATTTTTTTCTCATGAATATCTGTATATACTTCTATATTACCTTATATAAAATATTGAGATCTGATCATGAGGATTCAGATAAATTAAAAGTTGATTGGGGCTGGGTGTGGTGGCACTTGCTTTTAATCTCAGCAACTGGAGGCTGAGGCAGGAGTATCACATAACAGTTTAAGGCCAACCTCAGCAACTTAGTCAGACCCTGTCTCAAAAAAGGGTGCTAAAGTACTCCTGGATTCAATTCCCAGCACCCACTTTCCCCCAAAAAATGTTGGTTGGAGTTAGGGGTGAATTTCAAATACAAATATAAATAAATAAATTCACAAGTATCCATAATTTTTGTCAGAACCACCCCTTAAATTTTTAAAAATTAGTTCTTTTTTAAAAGTAGGTTTTGTCAATGTAGAATTATGATAAAATGGAAGAAAATAAACTTTGCAAAAAGCATGAAACAGGTTGTTGGAAGAGATACTGGTAGATTTTAATCCTTGGTACGGTGTAAAAATACTATTATTTTTTAGTGAATGGTGCCCATTTCTAAACCAGTAGGGGAGATTTGTAAGTATTTATGTGGCATGTTTAAGATGTGTTCATGGCAATTAAAGATAATCACTGACATCTGGTATGCTCTGAAATCCATTGTTATTAACACTGTGTGCTGTAGCCTTTCTTTGAAAACATCAAGATTGTTTTGGTAAGAATGATCCAAGAACTGCTTATAAAGCTGGTAGATTTTGTTCATGGCAAAATGTATTTGCTTAAGGTAAAAGAGAAAATCCCTGGTATGCAAGAAGTCAAAGTTGAAATGTAGTTAGAATCAATGAAATCAATTTGTTTTTAAAATATAGGGATTTCAAATTGTTTTTAGAAGATATTAATAATGGGGGTGTAGGATATAGCTCGGTGGGAAATTGTCTGTCTCCCATGTGGGAGGCTCTGGGTTTGATTTTCAGCACTGTAAGGACAAAATATTAAAGATAACTTATTTTCAATGTTTATAAATAAGGTATAGTTTTTAAGCTGTCATGAACATTTTAATGATCCCACTCTCAGAACCTCTTCTTTCAGACCTTTTAAATTATAACTTTAACCTGGAAATAAACCTTAGAACTAACATCCATATTTTACTAAGAATAGGGTGAGAGATTGACACGAATAAAGTGACTTGTTACAAGTTTATAGTACTGTTTAGCGACAGTGTTGGACTAGAAACCAAATCTCCTGCTTCTCATTTAAGTGCCTTTTTTTTTTTTAAGTCACAAGAAGCAGCTCCCTCGGTATACAGTAATTTTTAAAAGGGGTTAATAGTGGTTGTGCTGGTTTGTAATCCCAGCGATTTGGAGATTTCCAGTTTTGAGTACAGCCTTGGCAATTTAATGAGACCCTGACTCTTGATAAAGAATTTTAAGAAAGGACTAGGGTTGTAAATCAGTGGTAAAATGTTCAATCCCCAAAACAAATACAAGGGATTAATATTCACTGAAAGGTTCAG